AGGGGTCACAGGAATAGGCCTCAAGGTCAGTAGGGTTTGGTTCAAGCAGAAGATACAGACTGTGGCAGCCAGATAGGATGTGGCAAAATTAGCTGAGGCCAGCTTAGGCTACAAAGCAGGACCGCATCCCAAACAAAGCAGAACCAAAAAAAAAAAAGGCAAAAACAAGCCATTAAACTCTGACATTCTCTGCTCCTTCCTACCTTCACGACTGAGGTGGGCAGAGGGGAGAAAGCACAATAACGCCACCCAGGGCTGTCGGGCATGTGGACCAAGATCCCTGTCATGCGCTGTTAGGGGGAAGGCAAGTAGGACAGCCGCATGGGACAGACACGGCGATTCCTAGCAAGATGATAGGAACGTTATGTCTCACGGCATGGCAGGCCCATTCCTAAGTCTCTTACCCCAAGCATGAGGATGGGGTATGAAGAGATCTGTGACAGTAATGTTTGCGAGAGTGACGAACAGAAAACAAAATAAATGGCCACGAGTCAGAGGGAAAATACCCGGAGTATTAAAACAAAGGCTGGAAATTACATGTGTCAATATAGACAAATGTCAAACGTGCCAAGCAAAAAAGAGATAGCAAAGCCCAGAAAATGTGGCAATTCTGCAGAAAGCTTGAAATACTCAAAACTGTAACGTTATGGGGCCAGGAATATAGCTCAATGGCACAAGCACCTGCCTGGCAAGGGCAAGGTCCTGAGTTCCATTCCTGCTACCAACAACAACAAAAAACCTGTAACATTATTTATGGCTAATGCATGAGAATCTAGGATACAATAATGGATTGCAATATCACTATAGATGGCTGACTGCCGTGGCAAATGCCTGTAATCCCAGCACTCAGGAGGCTGAGGCAGGAGGATCATTGTGAGTTCAAAATGAGCTCAAGGGCTACAAAATGAGCTGCAGGCCAGCCTGAAGTGCATAGCCAGACCCTGTCTCAAAAAGACAAGAAAAGGGCCAGGGAGATAGCTCAGTAGATTAAGCACTTGCCTGGCAAGTGCAAGAGCCAGAGTTCAATCCCTGGTTCCACAAAAAAAGACAAGAAAAGAGGGCCAGCCAAATAGCTCAGCAGATAAAAGCACCTGCAAGCAGGCGCAGGGGCCCGGGGTTCTATACCAGGGCCTGCTTGGCCAGCCCCACCCCCGGGGCGTCCCGAGACAGCAATTGAGACTGGGCATGGTAGTGCGCACCTGTAATCGCAGGTCTTGGGAAGCTGTAAACAGGCGGATCACTACAAGTGCGATCTAGTAGTGAGACCCGGAACACCCTCTAAACCCTTCCCAGAACAGGGCCTCTGCTGACCACTAGTCCTTTGTCACACACATATACCACACCCATGTCCATTGTCTCTCCCAACTACATGACAGAAGTACTGTTTTTTTTATTTTTATCTATTTATTTTTTGTGAAACCAGGATCGAACTCAGGCTCTTATTCTGCTGAGTCATCTCCCCGACCCCCAAAAATACATTTTTTAAAAAGAATCAGGGTTTCACTACATTGCCAAGGACGGACCGAAGTCCAGGGCTCCAGTGAAACTCTAGCTCCGCCTCCCCAATAGCTAGAACTCTAGGTGCGTAAGTGCCGCTGCCCTCAGCCTATAGCAGCGGTTCCTTCTTTTTTCAGCACACTGAGAACATTAGCCAGGGTCCTGAGCACACTAGGCAGGCAATGTGCCACTCAACTGCATTCGCAGGCCTGGAGGTCATTCATGAAAAGACAGAGACTAGGTAGTAGAGTACTTTAGAGCTTTTTCTTAATTTTGCTTCGCAGGGTCCTCTCTGCGGTGCTGGGAATAGAGCCCAGGGGCTCACATATGCTAGGAAAGTGCTCTACCATGGGGCTGCAACTCCAGCTCGAAAAATGTTCTTTTAACTCTGAGACTACAGTGTGTATGTTTTTTTAATGTGCTGTCTCACTATCTAACACAGTGCTGCTGAGACAGGAAGCCCATACAACTTCAGGAATACACCTGTAATCCCAGCACTCCAGAGGCTGAGGCAGGAGGATCGCTGTGCATTGGAGGCCAGCTTAGGCTACAAAGCAGGACCGCATCCCAAACAAAGCAGAACCAAAAAAAAAAAAGGCAAAAACAAGCCATTAAACTTTCCGGAGGTATGCAGGGACAGGATGAGGTAGCCCATCTGAAGACAGAGTCCTCAAGAGCCTGCAATGTAGGGCCGGCCAGATAGCTCAGCAGGATAAGTACCTGCTTAGTCAAACCAGGGACCAGGCCACACCAGCCCACCCCCGGGCACACTGAACCGACCACAGAGTCCAGGCGTGGTGGCACACGCCTGTCATTCCAACACTGGGGAGGCTGATAAGAGAAGATCACTATGAGTTAAAGCTGTGTGGCAAGACCCTGGACCAAATAAATAAATAAATAAAATGTTTTTCAAAAAATGATTGCTTGGCTAGCTGTGCCAAGTCCCTAGGTTCACTACAAAAACACTACATTCCTACAAAACTAATGCACGACAAAAACAAACTGAAAGAATCCCTGTGCACAAACAGCTGAGCCGCCTTCCAAGTGTGTATGTTACTGGAGAAATAATGGAGAGAATTTCTGAGGTCATCCTTCTCTAACCTTTCCTTTTTGAGCAAGTAACGGTAAGCCTCAATTTAAAGGCATTGGCTTAATGAAGGGTTTCTCCTCCTGAATGCTTTCCATCAAAAAGAAAACAATCCAGGTTGCTAGTGTAGAACTGTAATCAGGGCTATTCAGGAGGCTGAACAGGAGGGTCACCAAGTTCAAGGCCAGCCAGGGCAACTTAGTGAGACTGTGGCTCAAAATTTAAAAAAAAAAAAAAAAAACAGTTGAGCGTGTAGCTCAGTGCAGGGCCCTGGCTTCAGTACATGGGAATGGGAAAACGAAACACAGCAGGTCTCGGACTCAGTCCCTGCATGTGTTCATTTTTACAGTATTGGCCATTGAAGCCAGGGCCTCCCTGAACTACACCTCCAGCCTGACTTAGGGAATCATAGCTATCGAAGCTAGCACAGCTTTTGCCAGATATAACTGCCACAAATTTTTCATTTTGTGCCTTTTTTCTTACCATGATTTCCCACTTACATTAAGCAGTACGGCTTCCATTTATAGTGGAGATATTCCATCTCCCTTTTAAAATTTAGTTTAGCTTTATTTTGTTTTGTTTGGAGGAACCAGGGATTGAACTCAGGCCCCTGTGCTTGCCAGGCAAGTGCTTATTCCACTGAGCCATCTCACCGGCCCCATAAATTTTAGTTTTGAGTAAGTCCGTTTGCACAGAGCTATTAAATACTGCATAACGGATCTGAACTGTTGGATCAGACAAAGGCTTCTCAGATCCTGGATACAGCAGGCACATTGCCGAATGTTGCTGGCCCGAGTCCAAGGCACAAAGGCCACAGAAGTACAGCAGTTTAAGCATCAGCAAAAAAGGTAGGAATTCAGAGAGAGAGGAAAATAGTGATACTGGAAGCAATGTGCCCCTTAGGCCCTGTGTCACGTCCCTTGATGGTGCTCGGGAGCCGAGTAGCAAGAAGAAGCCACAGGACTTGGGGGGGGGGGGGGGGCAGCAAACATGCCTGTGAGCTGGAGAGTGGGCGAAGAGGCCGAGAAGCCTCTGGCTGGAAGAGGGGATGGCCTAGCAGAGAAGCACACAGCTAAGCCAACCAGAATGACCGCACTCCATTTACAGTCTCCACAGCTACCTAGGACAGAGGTTTGCCTCTGTCTCTGGCCTAGTGACCAACATCCTTCAGCCTCCCTCCCAGGGCTCCTCAGTCTCCCTCCCGGGGCTCCTATTCCTAGACCTGGAAGACTCTCAACTTCTTTGCTTCTTACTTCATAGAAGGCCTAGCCTCTTTGAGCCCCAAGTCCTGCTTCCATTCCTGACATCACTCCCTCCTGCCTGCCATATTCACATTTCAGGGACAATAGCCTGCGATCACTAACGGGTCCTGTGCGGTCCTGTGCTAGGCCTGCTGTGGGCTCCCTGCTAGGCCTTACCTGACAGGACCTCATATT